GTTGCATCATGGTGTCCTGTTCCACCTCTAGTGGCTGGAAAGAGTAGAAACACACCTGGTCGTAGTATTTATTGATGTACTTGTAGAGCTCGTGCAGTGCCACCAGGTAGTTCAGTTCTCCCGAATAGTTCTGAAACACAAGGCATTGAAGTGAACGGCCACACTGTGTGTGTGTGTGTGTGTGTGTGTGTGTGTGTGTGTGTGGCTGCACTCACCCTGGACAGCTCAGCTAGAGCAGAGTTCATCTCCTGGTCACTGGCTGAGATGGTCTGCCTGATGTCAGCATAGTACCTGCAACAACCATCACTGTAATCAGCCTCTGATCAAATACGTTTATTTCACAAACACCTGCTCAGTGCTGTCTGAGCAGCTTAAGCAAGCCAACCTTTCCACCATCTGTTTGTAGCGGGGGATATCTCTGGCATACAGCAACTTGTTGATGGGCGAATCCTGTTCAAAAAGAAGAAGAACGACATTCAAAGACACGAGAGTAACAGGAGGCTGCAGGAAAACTCGCGTTTGCAAACGTACTAACCCGGCCCAGCTTGTGCTCTGCAATCGTGCACGAGTCCATGAAGGTCTGGGCGATCACAGAGAGCACAGCATCCACGTGGTCAGAGGCCTGGATGTCAAAGATAAACTGGGGATTCTTCACAATATTGATCCAGAAACGCAGCGGGAGACTGCAGAAACAGGACAGTATTAGAGTCCCGCTATCACCTGCCAGCAGCCGGCTCTATCAGACTATCGCCTACCTGTTGGTCTTCCAAATATGGATGGTCTCTGAGTCAGAGATGCCATGTTGTGCTGCCTGCTCATCCAACAGGTCGAAGAAGTACTTGACGGCGAGCGGGACAGGACGGCTCGTGCTCAGGATCACCGTGAAAAGATCATCCACAAACTTCTGCAACGTCCCCTGACGAACAGTAAAGTTCACATTAGAGCATAAGAAAGTGTCAGCACTCTGCTCTTGTCTAGCTAAAAGTATACATGTGTGTGTGTCTGTTTAACTTTGTAACGTTGTAGCTCACAAATGAGGAGAACAGCTGTGTGTAGTTTAAAAAACAGATTTTTACAAAGTGTGGTACTCCTGTACTCCTCATCTCCTTCCTACAGTCTCTACTCAGTGGGACTAGACCCAGATGTGTGTGTTGTACCTTCATGGACAGCAGGCGGGTCAGGTAGATCTCAGGGATAGCCTTGGCCCTCTCTCTCTCCCTCAGGCTGCCTCTGCGGTGTTTGGGCAACTCGGGCTCCTCGCTGGCTTTTACCAGATGCCACAGCCTCACTCCACCTTCATCTGCATCCTCCAGCATGGGCGTCTCTGCACACACACAGGTTCGATGCTTGCCTGTGACTCTACTTTTGATTGTCACTTCATGTTCCACACAAACACTCACACAATTTGAAGAAACGAGTAGAGAAATGATCGAATCGTTCTTACTGTCAAATAAAGTCTAATGAAAGATGAACTGGCTGAAAAGTTGATTTCTCTTTGATTTGAACAAACTCACTCTCTCCTGCTATGTAGTCGTGGTTGTCATGGTGAATGTGTTTGGTATGACGAGGGACCAGTGCCACCGTTGCGCCATCTGGGACCTATGGAGGAACACAAACAGCCATTGGTGTCGGCCGTGTCCTGTTCCAGGCTGTGAAACAGTGTAGTAAAGCGTTCAGTGATAACTCTGACCTTGTAGTGCTGAAGCGTGTTGAGGCGTTTCCAGTTACCCTGAACCACAGAGGTCAAGTCCTCGTCTGACAGGATGAGATGACCGGCAACGCCCGACCTCCACTCTGCATGACAGACGCACATCAGCACAGTGTTTGTGCGACACGCTCATCTTAGCAAACTCGAGCGACTTAACGATGTTTACAAATTCATTCAGGAGCTCCCATCATCAGCTCAGGCTGATGTTACCACGCAGGTACTGACAGTGCTGTAACATTTAAATTTACCAAGTGTTCAGACTGAGCAGTCAGTGAGCTTGGTTTGGATTTGTTTTTGTCACGCTGTAGGGGGCGC